CTCTGCTTTACACCAAAATCCATCTAGTATTTAACATTGATATTCTAATCATACACTGTATTATCTGCTTTACAGACAAATTTATCTACAATTATACAAATCATACACTGTATACTCTGCAGAAAAAGAACTGAGCAGCTGTACCAGTAACTGATGAAGTTGAATCAGTAACTTGTGACGTTCTATCATTGACTGATTACGAGAGTCAGTTACTGGTAATGCTTTTCAGTTGACTTGCAGTTTTAATCATCAGTTTCTACAATACACTAAAAAACTGGTTAGACACTGAGTGTTGCCATCAGTAACTGATGACAGTTTTTTAACGGTTTGTCAGATACTGATTACCTATGTTCTTCAATTGATATGACAGCACATTTCTTATTTGTCAAAGGCTAGTTTATACAACTGACTGAACTGACAATGACAACTGGGCACTAACTGACTGGATAACTGATTATTGTAACTGACGACAGCACGATCGGTATATTGAAACAAGTTACTGATAAAAGAAACAGTTGTACCAGTTACTGATAAAAAACTGGTCAATATTGGTCCAGTTTTATATTGATCAGTTACTGATCTATATAAAACTGAATAAAACTGGACCATTATTGACCAGTTTTTTATCAGTAACTTGTTTCAATATACTGATCGTGCTCTGTCATCAGTTTCAATAATCAGTTATCCACCAGTTAGTGCCCAGTTTTTTTATCAGTTTTGGCTGCATCCTTTTAATCATAAATTCTTAAGAAACTTTCAAGACAAAAATTGTAATATAACAATGTCGAGGCTATAATAGTTTTTAAATAATAAGCAATTACATTTCACAAATGACAGGCCTGACATTTCGCGCGCTCAGGTACGGCGACACGACAAGTGATAAAGGTGTTGCTACGAATATCACGCCGTGCCTGAACGCGCGAAATCTCAGACCTGTCATTTGTGAAATATAATCGCTTATTATTTAAAAACTATAATAGCCACATTTTTTATTACAATTTCCCTCTAATCTATTGTAACCAGTATACCATTTTTATGTTGCAGTTAACGATTACCATGGCAAGGACGCTGAAATTCGACCAGAGGGACTTGGAGGAGCCGGAAGAACTGGAGTGGGCGTGAGTATGTTTGTACGCAAAAGTACGATCGTCGCGTCGAATAATGTACATCTGCCTTTTATTTCAGAGACGGAGGATTACGAACTAATACCTACGATGTCGCCGACTCGGACGCGTCGACGGTGGACGTCGAGACCCTGAGCAACTTGGGCGACGTTGCCAGTGACGACGACTACGACGGCGACGACGAGGAAGATGAGGACAAAAGTGCTAGGTAAACATTTACTTGTTAATTATTTTCTTTTCCTTTTCGTGCAACGAATCTAAAATAATTTTCTTTTTTCAGAAAGGACGAAAAACGGGACGACGATGTCGAGGACGATGTCCAGGACGTCAAACGTGCGAGGTAAACATTTATTTGTTAATTATTTTCTTTTTCTTTTCGTGCAACCAATGTAAAATATTTTTCTTTTTTCAGAAAGGAGTGAAGACTCGCAACGTTCCAAGTACTAATTTTAATGGTCCAATAAATAAATAAATATATATGTGGGAACGAGGATTTGAATCCCGCGCTATAAGGTGTAACTCGTTGGCGCACTAGTGCACGGTACGGGGGCGCTGGGAGAGAGGAGAGAAGCCGGTGATAGTCAGTCAGTCGATGCAAGCTAAGCAACAGTGTTGTATTAAAAAGGAAAATATACGGACGATAGATCCCATCTCTCGTGTCCTGTACCTTCTCGATATCCAATCCCACAAACTCTGGGGGCTCGTCCGGGATTGCGAGCAAGGATTACGACAGCGGAATCTTCGTCAAAAGGTGCTAAGGCGTAATTAGACGACAAGGCGACGAAGGAGTGGAACGCGACAACGTGTTCCAGCTAAGGCGAAAGAAATGGCGGACATACTCGAAGAATTGACGGTGGAAGAGCTGGTGAAGAGACTCGAACATTTCGGGCTGCAGACGGCAGGTACAAAGGCGGCGTTGTGCGAAAGATTACGGAAGGCGATGGAAGAAGAGACCTCACAATCGGCGGATGAACAGAACCACGGTGAGAAAACACGAACGGCGGGCATGACGACGGAAATACGGCTCGAGGATCTGACGAAAGTGCAGCTTAAGCAGAGACTACGAGAGCTCAAACTGCCTATTTCGGGTCTAAAATCAGTGCTGCGCGAAAGGCTGCGAGCGGCCCTGCAAAAGGATTCCAGCGACGAAGGCGACAATGAAGACGACGGCGACGAAAACGAAGGCGACGACGGCGACGAAAATGAGGGCGACAACGGCGAGGACGGCGGTAATAAAGATGGCGTTGGAGGAGAGATGGTGACACCGCACCGCGGTCGAGACGCACACGCGGCCATCTTGCCTCGCAACGTATTCAACGGCGACTATAGAGATGGCGGTAGGAGAGCGGGAATGTTACCAACCCACAATCGAGGTGACGGCGCAACGGTACTTCCCCGTAATGCAGTTGACGAGGGATATGACAGACAAAGAACAAGGCAAGTAGTATTGACATACAAGGACGTGGAAGACGCTCTATCGACTTTCAGTGGCGATGGCACGCAGAGTGTAACGATGTGGTTCACATCCTTCGAAGAGACGGCTGATTTGTGCGGATGGACGGACGTACAGAAGATCATCTACGCTAAGAGGCTATTACGGGGTTCGGCGAAGCTATTCGCGAATTTCGAGTGTCGTGTCCAATCCTACCGCGCGTTTAGGAGGGCGCTTGCTGAAGAGTTCGGCAAGACAATGAACAGCCGTCAGGTGCACAAGGAGCTGAGCAAGGTAACGAAAAAGTCGGAGGAAACGTACCAAGAATACATTTACCGTGTTTTGGAACTGGCGAGTCATGGTGAGATTGAACTGGAGGCCAAGATACAGTACATCATCGACGGCATAAAGGACGAAGAATCAAATAAGGCCATTTTATACAGTGCCACGTCGATAAAGGAGCTACGACAGAAGTTTATGCAGTACGAAACACAGCGCGCCAACCGGAACAAGGCTAAGCAGCAACAACAACAGACATCACTAAAGAAGAGAACAACTAATAGTTCCAACCAGGTGGCAACGGCGGTGACGGCTAAGCGGTGCTTCAATTGTGGCGATTCCAAGCATTTGGGAAAGGATTGCCCAAGCAAGGTAAAAGGCGCTAAATGCTACTCATGTAATGAATTCGGTCACATTGCAGCAAAATGCCCCAAGGGTGCGGAGGCAACAAAGGAAAAAACTCCGGCCAGAGTCGACGCGTTGCAATCCCATGATGACAAGAAGACGTACAAAACCGTACGGATTTTGGAAAAGGTTACAGGGTTTGTCCAAGATTTTTTTATTATCGATTCTTGCAGTAGACGTCGAGACAAGACAAACGAGGTAATGGACCGGGGGTCGGAGATCACCCCTTCGTCCGGAAAACCGCCCTTAAAGTTACAAGAACCCGTAGCTCGGACAGGGTTGGAGGTGGGGGGTTGGGACCCGATGCAATGTTGTTCCCCTCGGCGAGTGCTATCCATCCCCCCCAGGTCCCATCCCCCTACCACCCCCCCTCTGGGCTCTGTATACTTGGTCGGGGGATGTAAAATTTTTTATATTTTTTTCTTAAATTTGGCCACCCTACACGAATAAGGCCCAGGTCCCGAGTCTCTGCGACGTTTGCAACCCCTTGAAAACAGCCCTTAAACCGCCCCGAAGGATAGCTCGTAGGGGGTTGGAGATAGGGGGTTGGGACCTGAGACAATATTGTTCCCCTCGGGGAGGACTTTCAATCCCTCCAGGTCCCATCCCCGTACCATCACCCCTCTGGACTGTGTATACTTGGTCGGGGGATGACAAATTTTTTATTTTTTTTTCATAAATTTGGCCACCCTACACGAATTGTGACACAGGTCCGAGGTCTCTGCGACGTTTGCAACCCCTTGAAAAAAGGGCCTAAAGCGCCCCTTTAGTTATCTCGGAAGGGGTTGGAGATAGGGGGTTGGTGTCTGAGACAATGTTGTTCCCCTCGACGAGTACTCGACATCCCCCCAGGTGCCATCCCTCTACCACCTGCCGTTTGGGCTGTGTATACTTGGTCGGGCGACTTTTTTTTGAAAATTTACCAAGTCCCAAGGGGTACCGACTTAATTTTTTGAAAAATCGACCCCAAATTTCATGTCTCATTGGGTTCGCGAGGTCGAGAAACGCATTTTGGACGTGGAAATTTTTGGCATTTTTTTGAAATTTTATACAACTTTTCTTGAATAATATGTCAACTTTTCTGTATAGCAGATAATTTTCCATCATTTGTCGAGAAATATTACAACTGTTGAGGCAAACTGTGACACTAGATGGGTTTTCAAGTCTTTATAACAAGAAATTTAAGGTAAACTGTGACTCTATATCCGAGATTATGGGTTAACTGTTCTGTACAGCAGATAATTTCCCAAGATTTAGACTATTGACGCACCCAAGAATTTACTGCTTTACAGAAATATGCAAACTGTGACTCTAGACATGAAATTTAAGGCAAACTGTGACACTAGATGGGTTTTCAAGTGTTAAAAACATTCAACTTGAGGTAAACTGTGACTCTAGATGGGTTTCAACGTCTATATCGTATGAAATTGAAGGCAAACTGTGACTCGATGGGTTTCAATGATTAGAAGGTGTGTAATTTAGGGCAAACTGTGACACTAGATGGGTTTCGAGTCTTTA